GATAATTTATTGAGATCACCTATTTTTAACTAAACTACAAGGAAAATATAATTCTTTAATAGACGGACGTAGCTGTATGAAAACAAATGAGTGTGTCTATTGGAAGAATTGAAAAATGCGACACTTATCGGTAATTGAAGTATAGAAAAAAACCGATTATTTGTATAAACAGCAATGAGAGAGAGAGCAACGCCATCCATAAATCAATGACACAAGATGATTTACTTAGTTAGAGACAATAAGAAAAAAACTATGGCAGTCTTTGACAGAACTAGGCAGAAAAATTGATACCAGTTATTGAGAGCAACAAAATGTGAAACATAAAAATCTGTGAAAAATAAAATAAAATAACGATTTTTCTGTTCTAATGAAAGAGAAAGCAAGACTTATTATCGCCCACATAACTACAAAAGAACAAAGCTTTATAATTATTAGGATGTTAAACATAAGATTGCTAAATGATAACTTATTATAAGAGAAAACTTTTCACGTGAGATATTTATTAAAGAATACCTATAATTAAGCACAGAAAAAGATTACTTCTTTCGATTTCTCTTTATATATACATTAACTATTACTTATAGGTATGCCTTCGCGTATCGCAAAGCATTGCAATAGAGTATTGAAAAAAGATCTGAGAATTGCATCTTGCATCTTGTTACAAAGGTGTAATAAGACAACATATAAGAAGATCAAAGAATATGAAAATGCATCGGACATCATCATCATCATCATCTCTGGTTGGGATGAAATGCAAGATGAGACATCCATATTTTATATGTTACATTAACTAACGAAATCATTCTGACTGGAAATGTTAATAAGATATATAAGTAGATGACAGAGACCAATGAAAACATTAACTATCTCTGTATGAAACGGTTATTATTTCTACTAAAATATCGCATTTCGTGGTTTTCACTAAGTTCATCTTAAATACATAGATAGGGTAGTCAAAAAGTTCTCGCAATAGTAGTCTCAAATTTTATTCTCATTATTTTTATTCCTGATGTTGGCCTATTTTAGTAGAGATATCTATTGTGTATTAAATTACCAATATGAAGTTTCACAAGTTCCTATTATCGTAGCGAGTTTTTAATGAATTTTTCGCCATTGCTACTTTCAAATGGAAAAACTTTGCATACACTTATATGTAAAATCTCGTTTGTTATTTAGCCTTACTGTAATACAACATCACGATAAATTAACACCTGCTTATGAACAAGGATAATATATTCCATTGCGTACAGTTGCTGATTCGGTTCATCGAATTTTAAGTGGATGAGAGTCATTGAAAGATAATCCTTGAAGTAGTCGTCCAATGACTGTCATCAATCAATAAAATGTTGATACTATGAATGATCTCATGAATGATGATCCACATATATTCATTCTATCGTTAATATCTTAGATATATCATATAGTAGTGTAGATACTATTCACAAGCAAAACCTTGACTTACGTAAACTCGCGTCAAGATGCGTACTTCATGAACTCACGCAAGAACAACGATAACGGTGTGTTGATATTTGTATTGAAAATTTACAGATATTTGAAAATCGTACATGAAGACTGTGTGATATAGTCACGGGAGATGAAATTTGAATTTATCATCGCAAAATTAGAATACCAGCTTGAAAAAACCTCACTGCCTCAGAGTTAGATAGCGAAAACATCTGATTGGCTGAAATTTCAAGCTGAAAAACCTGATCGGACGACGGAAAAACGTCAAAATCATCTGACCACATGATGGTTTCCGATTAAGTCACCATCTTGAATATTTGCCCTAAACTTACACGAATACATGTAGACATATGAATATTTATGAAATTGAGGGTCAATACAATTTCTACACATTTTTTTACAATAATCATAGGAATGTGAAATTAAAGGAAAGATTTATCTTCGGCAAGGATGTCCCCACTATGACATTAATGAGATTGGACAATTTTAAAAAAGAATTGTACTCAAATTTACATTTATTTATTGCAACAGAGGTTTTTGATAATATAGATAATTTCAGATATATTGTCTATGTAAAAAAAATATATTCCAATTAGAATTTTTCTATTGTAGATTCAGTTTTAGATGAGTCATTCAATCTGATATGAGTATAAAGTTAGAAAAATGTGTTTTCCTTCTTTAAGATAGTGTCTTTTGTCGTTATCATTTTTGTCTTGCTTTCGAATTGTGATTTCTATTCCTTTCTCTATTTTAGATGTATTTAATCTCTTAACAAACATGACTATATGTGCAGTGATTTACGAGAAAATCTCAATCCAAAATCTCTTTTCTCGATTGCGTTCTCATTTAACTATAAAGAGTTGCATGTCACATTTATACCTTTTTATCTTTATTACATGTTCTATTCATGAGACAAAGTAAGCACTCAATCTTAAATAAAATCACTTCTTTTATTGATATAATGAAGGACAATAACCGATTATAAAACCATAATTTATCATCAAGACCGTCAGAATCATAAAAAAGAAAAACCATTGACGATTTATTGCGTTCCAGCTTACAATTATCGTTTCTATATATTGCAATTAATCACCAATTTTTTAGCGATTTCGAGGACATGGATTGTATTGAAATAACAACAAAATATCATTAGTATCAATTTCAAATGAATCGATGGCAGTATATTATTGTGATTAACGTTGAATTTTTAGACTATTTGATTCTATACAAGTATTTAGGTTTTCTATAGCCATATTTTCGTTTAGTTTTCATCCGATTATATAAGTAAAGTAGATCAAGATGAAGTTGAACAAAAAACAAATCTTACTTGAGAAAATAACTTTAAGAAATTCAATTAATAGATTCGAAAAACTACCAGTAGTAGTATTTTCGATACGAAAAATAGTTCACATAAAATAGATTACTTTAATAGGCATACTTTTATTTTGCATTGATATTGTTTTTGTTGAATCGAATGCATAGAATTAATGGTTATAAATGATTGATTATTCTTGATTGATTCGTGTTACGATGTTCTCATTTTGTAATCGCTTTTCGTTCTAGTTTTACATTGAAAAATATCTCGAACAATCAATCGAACTATTTTACTTGTCAACTTAAGTAATATTTCGTCATTGAATCAATCAAAGCTGGATACCGTAAAAAGAAAAAAGAAAAATGGTTAATGATATTCTACCAGTAAAAATGATATTGACAAATGTATTCTTTGTTTTGAAAAGATATTTTTGCACTTAAACTGTACTGAACAAACGATTTTATGCATCTGTACAAAATCTATACAAAGTTTTTCAAGAGTATATGAAAATAGCATTGTGTTAATGAGAATCGTACCGGCTTTTTTTTTGTTTGTTTCTATTTTTGTAAAACATTATTGACACTACTCATGTCACAAAAGACATTGTTTAAACCATGAAATAAATATCTTCTAAAATACTCTCAATTTTCTAATACATAGCCCTTTTAATCTGAGTTTCATCGTTCTCCATTACTGTTATATAATGAAGTTACCCGAATGATATCATTATATCGTCCATAAAATCTGCAAGTTATTGCTTTACTTATAAATGAGAGATGTTCTCTGTAGATGACACAAGTTTACGTTTTTTTATAAAAATTCTATTAATTTTTATTGCAAGAAAATGTTTCCAATCGTGCTTCCTTAATAATTATTCTCTCATTATCTCTTACTAAACACTTCTGCTTTCTTTTCATACCATATACATTAACGTCCAAATCACTTTCAATAAAATCAACATCAACCAAGAAGAAATAAGTATATTTTATAGCTACGATAGGAATATTTATTATTTAGTTTTTCATATTAACATAAAAAAACCTAAAAAAAAATAATTTTATGTTAATTCTTGCATTACTAATAAACAAACAAGATACACATTAGTATATTTTCAAAAGAAAATTTTTCAAAAAATTGTCTGAATATTATTATTAGTTTCGATGTTAGTTCAACATTCTTAATTTAAAAGCGTAGGTTGATACATATAAATGCGCATATTATGAATGAAATAATCAAAAATATTAAAAAAAAACATTTTTTGATAGATCTCTACAATAATATTGTAAATCCTAAGCAAATTTTTTTTTTATCGGTTGTAAACTTGAGTTCATAAATTGTTTAGATTAAATCATCATCATCAATCGAATAAGACAAATTGTATTATTTAAATGAATAAAAATTGAGTAGAAAAAAAATATTGAAATTTCTTTTTTCAAGAGAATATATTATTTCCATAGATAGATAATCACTTTTCTACATTAAATTGATAAAAAGAAAGAATTCAACGATACAGAATAATATCTATTCGACAGTTGTATTATGAAAGCTTTTTTTTGCAAAAAATTTAATAAAATCTCTAATGAATCTTTTTTTTCTCTTATTTTAATTTTGATTATTAAAATTAAATAAAAATAATTATATGATTCTTTTTATTCTAACTTTTAATAATATTTCACGTGTATCTTGTTAAAAAATCAATACAAATGTGAATAGAATATAAATACATAAATCAATATGAGAATTCGCTAGAGAACGATGAAAACAGTTCGCTCATAAAATAATAATCACCGTTAATGACATCATTCTACAACAAAATGACCTTGATTTACAAACATACTTTGTTTTTCTTTGTTCTAAGAATAACTTGATTTAATATTCCGTTGAAAAATTAATTGTACATTATGCCTGATGTAACAAACAAAAAAAAAATACTGCAAATCGAACTGAATTATTGTCAAAACAATTTGTCTGATACATTGAATCATAGATTTTTAAAAAAACACAAAACAAGTAGATGTTAAAAGTAGCAACTTTTTTTCCTTCATAACTTACTCTTCTAGATATTTGGTGTAACAGATGCGTCAAAATAAGCAAATGATGACTGTTGTAGGCGTGCCGAGCATTAGTATGCAAGAAAAATAAAAGGAAAAGAAAAAAAAAAGTTTTTCATCTTTCTATTGATGTGAATGTGTGTACATATTTAATTCATTCTTTCAAGAAAATGGGACATCATCCATCTAAACATCATGATCGTCGCAAGAGTACAAATCTTCAACCATGGTCATCGACAACAACAACTTCTCAACCATCAAATTCAGTACGAAAATATGATTTGTCCAATTTTGCTGTGATTACAATTGTTTTTAATCCAATACAATATAAAACTCGTTATGATCATTATCAAAAATTTGAAGCACATATGTCTCATTCTGGTGTAAATTTGTTTACTGTTGAATGTATATTTGAATCAACAACACGTTTTGGTTTACCTCGACAAAATTTTGAAGTAACTCGTGCTGGTGAGCGTCGTCATATACAACTTATTGCTCCATCTATCGTGTGGATGAAAGAGAATTTAATCAATATAGCTATTCAACGTTTACCTCCAAATATTGAATATGTCGCATGGATCGATGCTGACATCGAATTTGAAGTATGTCTTAAAGGTTGTCTTTGAATCATTTTTTTTGTCGTTTCGTTTTGCTGAATGCATCATACTTTTGAAATTGAAATAATATTATTTTGATGTGATAGAGTACGAAAATTTATTGCTTAAGGCAAATACAACAAAATGTCCTTATTGAAAATTTCTTACTGTTTTATTTTTAGCGTCTTGATTGGCCACATCTAACTATAGCTGAATTACAACGTTATCCAATTGTACAACTTTTTGAATTATCTTATTTTCTTGGTCCTAGTGGAAAGAAAGATATATTACGTCGTGATTATTCATTTGGTTATTCGATTAGAAATAAGAAACTAATTGATCCAAAACGTTATAATGAATGGTATCCTCATCCAGGTTATGCTTGGGCAATGCGTCGTTCAGTATTTAATTCAATGGGAGGTCTTCTCGATTTTTGTATTATTGGATCGGCTGATTTACATTTTGCTTTTGCACTTTTACATCGTATTGAAGAAACACTTCGACCTGGTTTGCATCAAGATTATAAAAAATTAGCTATGATGTGGGGAGATCGAGTAGCACAAGTAGCAAAAAATGGTGAAAATGTTGGTTATGTATCTACTAATGTATGGCATTATTGGCATGGCGAAAGAAATGATAGAAATTACGTTGATAGATGGTAAGTGTAAAAAAAAACGAGACCTATGTATGAATACTTGTTTGAACGTTACATATGACAAAAAATGTATCTCTGGGAAAATTTTCATGATCTGTTTTTATCTTAGGTTAATAATCGAAAAATATCAATATTCACCACAAAATGATCTACAAAAAAATGACGATACTGGTCTTCTTCGTCTAGCCGATAAAAGTCATTTAGGATATCCTGAAATGCTTGCACGTATGGAAGCTCTTGAACGTGATATTGTCGCCTACTTTAAATCACGTAATGAAGATGATACTACAAGGCGTATTCCCGTACAACCTCCATTTGCTATTAAAAAACAACCCTTCGTAGCAACAAAAACTCAAACTCATCGTGGAGGTGTCATTAAATCTACAAAGTTTCCATCAAGCTATTCGAGAGGTGGTACTAGACCTCATATATGGTCTTCTGGTCCTGCTGGCACACATGTTGATGATGACGATTCGTACTTGCATCACTGTACTTGTCCTGGACATCATCATCATCCTGACAATCATGACTGTCCATGTTCGCCACATCATATGGATGATCAACACTGTTGGAATCCATCCGAACATGAACATCATCACCATGATGATGACCATCATCATCATCATGATGACCATCATCATCATCATGATGACCATCATCATCATCATGATGACCATCATCATGATGACCATGATCATCATCATCATCATACCGATGATCATTTTGGAGGAGGTCACTCATCTCATGAACATCAACATCATGGAGATTGGAGCCATGGTGATAATAGCGGTCATAATTATGATAGTTCGTTCGGTGGAGGAGGATTTGATTATCACAGTGGAGGCGGATCCGATAATACAAATTATGGTGGTCCTGGAAGCTTCTACTAATATGATGAATTAATTTGAAAATACAAATTGTATTACATAAGAAAAATTGATTTTATTTAACTAATATGAATGACATTTTGTATAACTTTTCAATATAATACTATACGATCAACTGATGAGAGGAAATTTTCATTCTGCTGAACATTTGTGTGAAGAGTGTGTTTCTAATTATTTTTACCATTTCTATCTTATATCTGTTTGTTAAAATATATTATAAATTTTTATTTTAAATAAGAATATTAACATTAGAAGGTATTAATGAGACGCAAGTGATTGCTAATTATTTTTACATCTTTTAGTTTGTATTCGGCTCTCTTATAAGGATGGTTTCTTATTTAAAGTCATTTGTATGCATTAAACTTTTTAACATTTTGATAACAGAAAGTTCGATAGACTTCTCTGATTACGAAATTTTGAAGTAAAAATTATTTGAATATTAGAAATTGTTTCACTTTTTGTGTTCAATTTAATAAATATGAATTTGCTCGAGATATTATACATGAGTTTTCTCTTTTGCTAGTTTTGGACTCTTATTTTAAACGATTTAAATCATATTTGATTGTTCTTTAATTAAAAAATATACTCTATTACGATAAAAATTGAAGTTTCTAATTTATATCTTCGAACTATTTCAAGAAACACGCATAACTTCGTTCTATAAATTCAAATACCAAATCAAGATGTCGCTGTTTATCAATTGTAATATTTTCATTTGAGTATTCAACAACAAATAAGTAATCGAATGGTAAATTACAGCACTCAGGTATGCTTGTGGGCACCGTTTAAGGGAAACAACCGTTTAAGGGAAAATATGGACACCATTGTAGAGGCACATGGAATCATTCAATGGTGACTGGTTTAGCACAAAAAGCTAGCCATAAATAGAATATATGGACTTTTGAAAAATAGAATTATGTATTATTACTTCTGTTTTTATCATAATATATTCATTTTTGAGATTTTTAAGATCACATTTAAATGTTCAACTTATTCTACCGATTTACTCCTGTGTTTTGATTGAGATATTTGTTTAGTGCCGAATTCAAGTTATCCTATGAGATATGTCGACTTGTCTCATTAGATAACTCGAAATATTAAGAATAACTTGCTCAAACCTACGAGGCGACTTATCTCATAGGACAAGTCGAGTTATCTCATAGAATAAGTCGAAATACTAGTTGAGCGAGTAAAAATACTTCAGTTAAAAGAAGCGACTTATCCTATGAGATAAGTCGACTCTTGTGACTGAACTACTTTTTTCCAGTATTTCGAGTTATCCTATGAGACAAGTCGACTTACCCTATAGGATAAGTCAAAATACTAAGTGAACAAGTGTAAATGTCTCAATTGAAAATAGTGACGAATCCTGTAGGATAAGTCGACTTGTCTCATAGGATAACCCGAATTTTTGGCAAAATGGAATGCCTCGATGACAAGCTACATCTGTTTAAATTTATAAAAAATTCTGTATTAATTTATTTTTTTTCAATTATTGACATATTTTTAAAAGTAATTTAATACACCGAGATGTGTTCCAATTCATGCAACCAATCAGATTTAACATTTGTGCCTCTATCATGGTGTCCGTATTTTCCCTTAAACGGTTATTTCCCTTAAACGGTGCCCACATATGCTGTCTCTCAGAAAAAAGTCGTTTCATTCGGCCTATCAATAGCAGAT